GCATTGGCACGTTCCTATTGGCTCAATCGCCGTTTCTGCTAGGTAATAGCTGTTGACCGGAAGTAGGGGAGTCTTGCCCACCCATGGTCAATGGATTGGCGAGACACTCCACTCGAGCAAATTTTACTTTCACTGGAGAGTTCTGATCCGTGTCGCCTGTTATTGAGTCATCGACGATCAGGCGGGTCAACGGTGAGCTGCATAGGAAGTTCTCAGCATGTTATGCAAACCAGGAATTGGGACGAGTTTATTTGCTATTGCAGTGCTTTCTGTGCCAGTTCAAGTAATTAGCCCGACTCGAAATGTGTCTAAGAAAGAATGAACACAGTTAGTGAAGATAATGAGATATATTAGAGTAAAGAAGAATGTTGCGTCAGTCCACCGACGCTTTCTCGGAACCATCTCCACTCATTGGGGGATTCTCGGATCAGATAAAAATTTCAAAGAGGATCCTCTCGGATTAGGTTTAGCAAAATAGTAAACGAACCAATAGTAAATCAGTAGAAAAAGCAAATAAAAGAAGAGAAAAGAACATTTACTGGTAAAACTACATATGCAGCCGAAAAGGTCAATGTCCGAAACCGGAATCATGTGAGCACATAATCTAATCTGATCATCACTTTTTCTCGGGTTTCCCCCTCTCCCTTCGCATTCCAATTCTCTCTTCTCTTTAACCTTTCTATACTCTTTGTATCCATTCCCCAGTCGGATTATTTCATACACAGGGTTTGAAAGGAAGCTAGTTCTTGCTTCTCCAACTAGTCTTTCTCGCTTATCGGCTCATATGAGCACACTTCCGCTCTTCCGACCGAGAAACGGCTCGTGCGTGTGCCCCGACCACGCCCGACTAGTTGTTTCCAACTGACCTCAACACAGTATTTGAACATCAATTTGGTGTCAAAATGGCCAGTGGGGTGTCTATGACACCTGCTCTAGCCGGACATCCTGCATTGGCCCTCGCACCGGCGCCCACGCTGGCCGCCAGGCCCTCTGTAGCCCCATCTCCAGGACCGGGTACCCCCGGCTCCATCACCTCGAGAGAATGGGTTATCCCACCACGTCCCAAGCCTGGTCGCAAGCCAGCTACGGACACACCACCAACCAAACGCAAGGCGCAGAACCGAGCAGCTCAACGAGCGTTCCGTGAGCGCCGGGCTGCCCGAGTTAGTGAACTGGAAGAGCAAATGAAGGAAATCGAAGATAGCCACGATATTCAGGTCGCCTCGCTCCAACAGCAAATCGAAAACCTCTCCGGTGAAGTTGATCAGTGCCGCGAGGAGATGGGCTGGTGGCGCGACCGATGCCACGCCTTGGAGAAGGAAGTATCGATCGAGCGCAGCGCAAAGGAAGCCATTGTCAAGGAATTCCGGTCATCGTTTGCTGGCCCTAACGTCAGCAAGCCCGCGCCTATTCCGGATTCTGTGCCCTTGCCACCTCGCAAGACTAGAAGCTCCCGAATGGAGGATGTTCAGCCCACCAGTACCGAACGTAACAAGGAAGACGGACACATGAATGTACCTCTGGGGTGCAATAACTGCTCCAACGCCCACTGCCAGTGCATTGAAGATGCATTCGGCATGCCAATGGATACCCATGAATCATCTCGTGCTAGACACCCACCTCACGGTGTGGGCAGCCCGGAACGCGATCATAGGGATCCTCACATCAAGCCCGATCCAGAAGAGATGGAAATCGACTTCACCGCTCAGTTCTCCAGCGCACCAACCCAGTCTCATGACCATGATGTCTCCTCGCCCCCCGTTGATCCCTGCGGGTTCTGCCAGGACGGCACTCCCTGTATCTGCGCCGAGATGGCCGCACAGGAGCAGCAGCGTGTACGCAACGCTAACACATTTGAGACCAACCGTCTCGCACCAATCCAATCCATCTCCCAGTTCACCCCGCCCCCATCTGAGGGAGATGTCCGCTCAGAAGTGGTCCTCCCACCCATTAGCCAAGCAACCAACCCCTGTGCCAATGGGCCAGGCACCTGCGCTCAGTGTCTTGCCGACCCCCGAAGCACTCTTTTTTGCAAGACCTTGGCAGCCTCTCGGTCAGCGAGTGGAACTCCGTCCGGAGGAGGCTGCTGCGGAGGCGCAGGAAAGGACGGCGGATGCTGCATGTCAAGAGATGCCCCCGCCACCGCGTCCAACCCGCGTAGAGACGCCACCATGCCTTCGCAACCTCCCGCACCCAAGCCCGCTCCGCCCTCCGAGCTAACGCTCAGCTGTGCGGACGCTTTCACCACCCTGTCCCGCCACCCGAACTTCTCCCGCGCCAGCGACGATATTTCAGCCTGGCTACCAAAGCTCCACACCCTCCCCAACCCTCGTGACCTCGCTCCGCCAGACAGCCGCGCTGCTATGGAAGTCGAGGCCGCAAGTGTCATGGGTGTGCTGCGATACTTTGACCGCCGCTTCGCTGAAAAATAAACAATTCTCATTATGGATCTCACGCGTCCGGGTTCCCTTCTGCGTTTTTTCCGGTCCTCACCCACAAGGACACTTTTGATACCCATACCCCCCTCCTCTCCTGGACGCTCCATGTACCATCATACGGACTTGTTTCATATCATTCCTGTCTCTCTTTATCCCCTCTCCCATAAGGAATTGATCTGGCTCCATGTATATTTACATGGCTCGATTGATTCTCTGTCTCTCAACCCAAAAGCATGACATGTTGATTCTCATTTGATTTGACTGGGTTCACCTGGTGCAAGCTCTCCTGGCCGCCATGATCATGGTCAGTGGTTGAGCTGGTGGTCACTTTGTTTTCGATCCCAATTCTCTCATTTCATTAGACGGATGGATTTTAGCGGCGTTTCTTTTAGGGGTTATGTGTACAACGTGATTTTCTTATGACTGAAACGATAGTACCGCACTGCAATTTGCCCTTTTAACTGTAATTCGACATGTAGACCAAGGGGATATGATTCCATTTTCAGGATGGTATATGTGATAGTGATAGGCTCATTACCAAATTTGTTCTCGTGTACAGGTGTTGCACATAAAGTGAAGAGCAAGAAAACGCCAAACACCAGCCCAGATGCTAAGTTGATGAGCCAGCGGTTTGAATATGGAAAGGAGAAAAAAAAGAAGGAACAAAAAGATCATCAAAGACCGAGCTTAACGTCCTCTTCCACGTCCACCACCACCACCGCCACCTCCCATTCCACCCATCAACCCGCCCATTTGGCTCATTAGGCTCTGCATATCAGGCATGCCGCCACCACCACCTCCCATCATCTGCATCATCTTGGCCATGTCAGGCATACCCGGCATACCACCACCGCCGCCAGCACCACCCATGGAGGCCATGCGCTTCTGCATGGCAGCCATTTGCTGATTCTTGTTTCCGCCCTTCATCATGTTCTGAGCTTGCTGCATCTGCTTCTTCTGGCCGCCAACACGCTTGGCCATGCCGGCCATCATGCGGTGCTGGGAGAGCAGGTCCTCGACCTCACGGACGGTGGTTCCACTGCCGTGCGCGATGCGGACCATGCGGCTAGGCTGCTCGACGAAGTTCTTGCCATCGCCATCCAGCTCAGCTACAGTCATACTATCGAAAATGTAGACCATACGGCGCAGCTTCAGTGAGCCATCCTCGTCATCCAGACCTTGGGTCATGTTGGAGAGACCAGGGATCATGCCGGATAACTTGGACAGCGGGCCCATCTTCATGATCGATGTGATGTTCTCCCGGAAATCGCGCAGAGTGTAGATACCTTCCGCAATGTGCTTGTATGTTTCTTTGGCACCTGCGGAATCCTTGGTCATGGCCTGCACGTGCTCGACCAGTCCGGCGACATCGCCCATGCCTAGTAGCTTCTGAACGAAGGCGCGGGGCTCAAATCGCTCCAGATCCATCATGTGCTCACCGGTTCCGAGGAAGATAATGGGAGTGTGTGTCGCAGCGACAGCAGAAATAGCACCACCACCGGCGGCATGGCCGTCGGTCTTGGTAATAATAATAGCTCCGAAGTCTGCTGTTGCCTTGAAGGCTGCGGACTGAGCCTCGGCCGATTGACCGATTGTGCTGTCGAGGACGAGGATGGTCTGGTCTGGCGTCACGGCATCTTGAATTTGTGTCATTTCCGTGAAGAGCTCTTCCTCCTGTCGGTGGCGACCACTGGTATCGACAATGATGATATCGAAACGCTCCTTCTTAAACTTGGCCACACCCTCTGCGGCCACGACAGCAGGATCCGTCTGTGTGAGACTACCATAGTATGGAATCTTGGCCTTGGTAGCGTTCTGCTTCAGCTGATCAAAAGCACCAGCACGGAAGGTATCTGCGCAGACCAGCGCGGTTTTGAATCCTCGTGTCTGGTAGTGCCGAGCTAGCTTCGTACACGTTGTTGTCTTACCCGCACCCTGTAAACCGACAAACATGATCACATTAGAGCGGCCCTTCTTCGGCCGGAAGGAATCTGCATGCGGATCCACCAGTTTTACGAGCTCGTCGAAGACGGTCTTCTGGATCAGTCGCTTCTTGTTCACTGCGGCTGGAAGTGAGGCGAAGTTCACGCTGGCCTTAATCGATTTGCGTAGTGTTCCTACGAGACGGACGTTGACATCGGCGGAGAGGAGAGCGGCGCAAATTTCCTTGAGCATATCATCGAAGGCCTGTTATTGTATTAGCACGCTGGCTTGTGGGCCACGCTGGAGAACACATGGCATACCTTCTCATCGAGGTTATTGGACCTCGTCAGGTCATTGACGGCGGAATTGATTCGCCGCCCAAGGTCTTGAAGAACCATGGTGAATATTTGCGTAGATGTAAACAATTAGAAATGATCCAAAATAAGACCGTAGTCGTCTATGATTCCGCGATGGAGGAGGGGTGAGGTGAAGCCCATCGGAAGACCACAGAGGCGATGTGGAGGGGCCAATCGGAGAGCCGACGGTTTCTCACCGCCCCAAAAAAAAGTTGTGATACGCTTTTGGATCAGTGTCTCGACTTTCTTCTTTACTTACATTATTACATTATTTTTTGTGACAATGCCTCCTGTTTCTTCCAAAAAGCGCAAGGTCCTTGATGGCCTCAAGGGCAACACTGGCCGCAAGAAGAAGTTCGTCAAGCAGAAATTCTACCACAGCAGCTCCGAGGATGAAGAAGATGAGAACTTCAACCCCGTCAACCTTGAAGACTCCGACGCCGAAGAAGGAGGTGTCAAAGTGGCCAAGCCCTCGGCTCTCGATCTCCGCATGAAGAAGGCAAAGACACAAAAAGAAGCACAAAAAGAAGCACCCGCACCGGAATCGAAAAAATCAGATGCTAGCGACTCAGACTCCAATGTCGCCGAGGACATTGAGCTAGACGATGCCGACTCCAATCTTGGCGAGGAGATCGAGCTGGACGATGCAGACCTCGAGAATGACGACGATGAAAGCGAAGCCTCTGGATCTGACGGATCCGACGAAGATGATCTTTCCGACTCATCAACAGCCGGCAAACCCACAGGTGCCAATCGTGGCCGAGCCGTCCCCAAGCGCAACGACCCTACCGCATTCTCAACCTCCATCTCCAAAATTCTGTCCACAAAACTTCCCACCTCCGCACGGGCTGATCCCGTTCTCTCGCGAAGCTCGTATGCCGCGAAGCTGGTGAACGAGGCTGCAGATGAGAAGCTTGACAACGCCGCACGGGCTAAGATGCGTGCTGAGAAGAAGGAAGAAATGGATCGCGGCCGTATCCGTGATGTGATGGGTATCAAGCGAGGAATTGCCGGCCCTGTCGCTGAGGAGGAGAAGCGTGTGCGCAAGATGGCGCAGCGTGGTGTCGTGAAGCTGTTCAATGCCGTTCGCGCGGCCCAAGTCCGAGGAGAGGAGGCCGCTAAGGATGAGCGCAAGAAGGGCACAATTGGTATGGGAGAGCGGGAGAAGGCTGCCAACGAGGTCAGCAAGCAAGGATTCCTTGAATTGATCAATGGAAAGAAGGGAAAGCCTTTGAACATCGAGGAGGCATGAGCTGGATCTACGATTACCCATGGCATGTTTTCTGGCGTTGGGAGACTTTTTTTTGTTATATATTCTTTTCTACATTGTAATAAAATTGCTTATGTGGAGAGTCTTGTTTGATTAAAATAGTATAGGAGATTTTCATTTTGCGATACCGCGCAAGTCTACTAGATGCATCAGATCAATATTACAGTACAAAGTCCTATTTGGTGTCCAAATAGGAGCCTAAACCCCCGCTGTGTCCAGCCATCTCAATTCAGATAAGATGTGAGGGTATACAAGATCCAAACAGTCCCTCCCGGGGTCTTCGCTGGTGTCTTTATTTCGACTCAAAGTCGCTTGCTTGGAGATTCCGTGTCATGGAGGGCAATCGCACAACCAATCCGTCAAGATCCTTGGTCATGATCACCTGGCAGCCCAATCGAGAGGTCTCGGTAAGCCCGAAAGCCAGATCCAACATGTCGTTCTCGTCGTCCGATGGCTCTTCCATTTTATCAAAGGTGTCCGGGTCGTCCACAATCACATGGCACGTTGAGCAGGCACAGGATCCTCCGCATGCACCTATTCCGGGAATAATGTCAGACATTGGGGGTTGGACAAGCATTGTATCGGCTGAACTCACCTTCCATTTCAAGGTCATTTGCCTGTGCGATGTCGAGTAGGTTATCACCCTCGGCAACCTGGAGCTTTACCTCGGTACCATCCTTGTCGATGAAAGTCACATTGATCCTACATAGTCAGTCAGCATGCAGCACAGATAGCGCAAGAGCGCAAAGAGGAGTGCAGTCTGGTGGGCGTACTCTTCTCCGGCCTTTGGCGGCGTGATATGACCATGCGCAGCCTGTGCAGTCACCGAGAAAGCACGCCGAGCTGTATTATATCCTTGCCAAGGTGCTTGAAGGCTTCTCTGTGCATTGATATCGGACCGAGGGTGTGTTGTGATTCCGGTGTTCCTCCACGATCTCGAATAACTCAGACATCTCCGCGATTGAGTCAAACAGATATCCCCGGCCTTGGGTACATGGCGCAATTGCTGACCAACTTCTCGCCAGAAAACCATGTTGCACAGAAGGTAAATAAATTAAAAGGAGGATTTGAAAGTCAACAGAGAAAAAAAGAGGATCCGGGGGAAGATGGGAAGAGTTAGCAATGATCGTCCAATGGCCGCGGAGGAAAAAAAAGACTGACAAAGCTTGGGCGTTCGGACATTCCACTCCTCCCGTTCTTCTTTCCCCGACTCTTTAACTCCGACCAACATCACATTATGTCGTCTCGTGAAGGGATCAATCCCTTGCGGCCTTACTATATCCCCCCATCTGGCCTATCGCCCGCTTCAAATGCACCCCCCGAAGTGGTGTCGCCGTCATCGGCCCATGTGTTCGGCAGCACAGCGCGTGATCTCATGCCGGACTTGGACTATGCCGATTATCTGGAAGCTTCGCCCTCTGTGTCTGACTGGGTCCGAGATGCCTTGAACCGGGCACTTGTTCGCTACACCAAGGTTCTCACTGCACAGCCGTTCGATGTTGCCAAAACCATCTTGCAGGTGTATGTCGTACCAGACGCCACAGACGAGCAGTGGGATCGGAACTCGACACCGGTTGCTGAAGGAAGCTCTTATGATTCGGTAAGAATGCTGCTCTCTACAGCTGATATAGGGCTGTGTTGGATTCCATGACAAATGACTGATGGAGTTGCGTATAGGAGTCAGAATCATCCGATGATGAAACTAGTTACTTCACCTCAGCGGCCCCTCCAACGCAGACGCCGAGTACACCTCGATCACGCAAATCACGCCACCACATCACCGACCGCAGTGGCTATATTCGACCAGAGTCTACCACACAGCCTAAGCATGTATTGACTCTCAAGAACTCGAACTCTCTGACCGAAGTTCTATCCCAGCTCTGGTCCTCCAGCGGCGCAACCTCACTATGGAAGTCCTCTAACGCTACATTCATTCACTCACTTCTCCTGCCGACTTTGAACACTTTCATCCGCAGTCTTCTGTCGGCAATCGTCGGCTTGCCAGAGGAAGACCTTTCCACGTCGATGACAGCGGATATTTTGACGGCCTCATCCCCTCTGGCAACGCTAGTCCTGTCATTCATTTCATCCTCGCTATCTGCCCTGATTCTAGCTCCTATCGACACCGCTCGTACATTCCTGATGCTCACACCAGCAACCCATGGGCCGGGGTCCCTCGTCCGAGCTATCCGCCAGCTTCCCACACCCAACTGCACGATCCCCTCGCACCTCGTCCCAATCACCATACTTCACTCAAGTCTCCCCAACCTTATTATGACCTCGACACCACTCTTCCTCAAATCCTACCTGTCCATTGACCCCCTCCTAAACCCCAATGCATGGAACCTCTGTGCCTTCCTTGGCTCGGGACTTGAACTCGCTGTTCGATTCCCACTCGAGACCGTGCTTCGCCGCGCCCAGATCGCCACATACACATCCTTGAGTCTGCGGCAGAAGTCCTCAGGCGGTAGCATCAGTGCGGCATCTATTGATGCGTCCGATGTGGAAACCATCGTCCCTACGCCGCGCACATACCGCGGTATCATCGGCACAATGTGGCATGTCGTTTATGAGGAGGGTGTTAGCCCGACACCGTCCGACACCGAGCGTGCCAAGCAGCTTCTCGGACAGCGTACCTCACGGCAGCAGCTTCAAAAACGACAGCAAGGCCAGGGTATTCAGGGCCTGTATCGTGGCTGGCGTATTGGCATGTGGGGTATCGCCGGCATCTGGGGAGCCAATCTGTTGGGCGGATTCGCTGCTGGTAGCGAAGACGAGGTGACGACAAGAGGTGGCCATGGCCGTTCCAGCGGTGGACGCTTCTAATCGACGCCGTCGAGCCTGGAGGTTTCGTTTTCGGCTTTTTCTTCATTTTAGTGGCCACCAAATCGCCACTCAACTGACCCAGTCAATCATTAGCGAAGAGACATCCCTGAAATCAGGTCTTGCATGCGATATTCTTCCCATTTCTCATTCCACACGTCTTACTTTTCTGGCTGACACAGTTCGATATCTGGCATCTTCCAGATTGGCAAGGTCAGATGCATTTCTTTCATCGCGTGCGTCAATCATGTTCGCTCTCCACTCTTATCCCCTTCTCCCTCATGTCTACATCTTATACCCCAGTGAATGGATCCAAGGGGCAAAGGCGATCGGCGTCATGTTTTTGGTTTAGCAGTCCCTGCAGCGCAAACCGTGTATAAAATCCATCTTCCCATGTCACCACATAGCTATGTAACGAGATACAAGTCACAGCCCGATCTCGTTCCGGGCTTGCTGGGCATTTAATTCATTAAATGATTGATCATATTAGATTGTGCGATTCAAGTCACACTAATCTCACTGCTGTATTATCCAAGATATCACACCTGGCTGCTTGGAACGATCTAAGTAATACATATGGTCATCTAATCTGCCTGTGACTGATTCGAATGAACAAGAGGCGATCCCTTTGAGCAACGCTCAAATCCGCTAATCAAGTCTCTCGATCTTCCACAGTTGATCCGCAAGTTGAAAGTAGAGATCATTAACTGCCTCAACAACCCTTTTCGTCAACTCCGGCACCCGTCCCACAACAGTCCCAAGTACCACACTCCAACTAAGATCCGGAATATCATCCTCAACCACACGGCCTGGCGGCAAAGATGGGGTATGCACACTCGAATCGCGGTCTAATGGAACGCTAAGACGATACTTCCAAACCACCTCCCCATCCACATACAACGTGTAAGTAAGAACCGAGCTACGAGCGCGAACAGGCGCCGCAGCAGTAGCCGAACCAACATCTTCAACCACATCCGAAATATCAACAAGCCCAAACTTACTATTCCCATTCGGCGCATACTTCACCATAACATCCTCGGAGTCTGTCTGGTGGTACGTACGGATAGGGAGGTAAAACATGCTTAGGGGACCAACACTGAACTCATGCACTCCCAGCCCAGCCGTATTCGGCAAAAGCTGATCGCGACCTAGGTTGAGTTCCGGGTCTGGGAACCTAGTGGTAGCGAACTCATGTCTGTCACCGCTAAGCAGGACGATGCGGATGCCCTGTTCGCGCTCTGCGCGCCACATTGATTCAAAGACGACGCTCCGCTCGTCCAGGAACCCGCCCCAGGTATCTGTCGTGCCAACGTGCCAGTTCTTGGTGAAGGGCACGCTGGAGGAGATGATTTTCCAGTGTGTACCTGCTGGCTCTGGGGTTGAGATGTACGCGAGGAGGGACTGCAGCTGGGCATCGCCGAGAATGGTTGAGTTCTTGTGCGAGGGCTCGGTGCGGTAGGTGCGTGTGTCCAGCATGAAGAATGAGGCTGGGCCGTGCGTGAAGGCGAAGTAGGTTACATTATCTGGGTGGGCGAATGGCGCTTGTGGGATTGGTGGGTTTCCTCGCACGTGGTAGTGGATGAAGGGGTCTGCTGCTGCCGGGTACGGGGCGGTTTTGTTACCCTGCGACCAGTCGTTTTCGATCTCGTGGTCATCGAGAGTGTGCAGCCAGGGGAGGTCGATGGCGCGATTACCTTCTGGTCCGTGGGTCCAGGAGGGGGAGGAGTAGATACGCCTGTACTCGCTGCGGTAGTGGGACATTGCTGAGCCGAAGCGCCAGGGAACATCTATGTAGATGAAGTCGCCTAGGAAGAGCATGAATGCTGGGCGAAGAAGCTTGGGCAATTTGGCGAGGGCATCGGTCATTTGCTCGATGCCTGGGACCCGTAGTGGGTGTGATAGTAGGCTGTAAGGGAAGTTTGGCTTTAGACAACTTGATGTTACAAAAGATAGTCGGCTTGCTTCTGGGGTTTCGGGCGATGGTGCCGTGATAAATGTGCCTGACTTGTTGTTTGATAGCGAGTAGCGATATCGTGTCGCCGGCTTCAGGTCGGTTAGGGTGACACTCGTGGTGAAGTCGGTGGAGTTATCCAGCTTGTAAACGATGCCCTCTTCGTACCAGTCCTGGCTCAGTGGAGATATCTCTTGGAACATGACTGCCACTGGTAGGCGAGCCGAGTCTGGCTCGCGAAAGACCAAGTTGGCAGTGGTCGGGGAGACATATCCAACGCGCGAGAATGCGACATTCGTGGTAGGATAAAGTAGAATACCACGGGTCAAGAAGTCAAGTGTTAACAGGGCCAGGATGACATTGATCAATATTGTGATCCTGGTCCACAGGGGCCACTTTGTTGAGGGTAGTCCTGTTAACAGCGTTTTAAGCACAGAATCGCCGGCTTTGGCACGGCTAGACGCTGATTTATACCCTGTGAGACGTGGTTAGAATCTCATATTGTGGTTATTTAGAAATGGAGCCTGATTATTCACACCTCGGGCTCTAGCCGTCTGGGTTTGGTGAGGCTGGGTGTCCTTGAGCAGGGAGAAAATTGAGGACAGATACACCACTAGGGAGGTAACCACGAGAGGCACAAAGTGGTGACCAGGGATCTGTAAATATATGAGTTTTCTGAAACGCGAGATTGACTGTCTATGGGGCCTCATACCCATCGCAGAAACAAGAAGGTCGTCAGTCGGATGGTCGCCGAGCTCGTGGCTACCGCAATGCGCCGCATGGAGACCATTATGCAAAGTAATACCAATCGTGAAGAGTGAAAATCAATGCATGCTGAATACACCGGAGATGGTGAAGAGTGGAAGGTCTTGTTTAGTGGTGATTCATGCGATGACGTATCTACTTAGGAAAAGATCGACGAGACTTTGATCATATCAAGTTGAAAATCAACATAAATTATATAAATTGCACAATTCATGTTTGTTGTCTGACTATTCATTAGATTTGTAGATTTTCTTACTTTAACCATGGTACGTACAATTTAGGTACTAAAGGCTGAGGCCCTAGTAACGCCCTCAGGTAATCTTGAAATTTACATGTAGGCCAAAGCCCATTGACCAATCCACTCACTATATCTGATCTTGAAAATAGTTGAAGTTTAAGTATATAGCCATGGATTGAAATGATTGAAATGTTAGATATTCACTGCGTCATTGATGTCCCTGATTCAGCATATCCTGAAACAAATTATTGAGACTGCTCGCCATCGGCCCTGCTGAGATTAACTGACGAGCTGCCGCGACAACCTCTTTCATACCCATGCTCAATGTCATCTGAGCAGCCCACTGCCATGGGTTTGCTGTGTCTCCAGGTAGAGCATTGTAATACTCCCAACCCATAACGCCACCAAAGTTGGGGAACTGCTCAATCAACATTGCCAGAACAGGTCCAATCTTCTCCTGAGAAACATAACCCTGCGATCCATTACCCGGGTTTGTCAACAGGCCGTACACAATCCGTCGGGGAGACCACCCCTGGGCAACCATAGTAGAATACATCCGTGGATCCTCGGCAGGGCCCCAGCCATTGTAGAACTGGGCATTGTACCAGCTGATCTTGGAAGCCCGAGCCTGCTCGAGTTCACGGTAATCAAATCCTGATAGGTTCCCAATACCAAGTAATGCAGCTGCCACAGGAGCCAGGGTAATGATAAATGCGTCGCCCAGGTCAGCCTTGAGTCGATCGATGAGTCGAATGACACCTTGCAAAGACATGGTCTCTTCTACGTCGAGATCGATTCCATCAAGTCCATGGCGACGAATCATGGTCAGAAGAGGATAATAAAACTGTTCGAATTCCGCCCGGCTGCCGTCAAGCCGCGTGAAGGAGCCCGGGGCGGCCCCGCCTAGCATGCCCATCACTTTCACGCCTTGCCGTTGCACGAGGGGTACTTCGGCCCACAGGGGGTCAAATTTGGGGTTGTCTGGTGGGTCATCGTTGAGAGTGATGTCTCCTGGTTCACTGTTCAGGTGAATAGCAGCGAGAATAATATGCGTTATCCCGGTGTTGTTTTCGAGGAGCGGGAGCATGGAGACATACTGCCCCCCGCCGGGGATGAGCGTTTGGTGGTACAAGATCACCCGCGGACGCTCGCCGAGTCTACCTCGGATAGGTGGCATTTTGAGAATAGCGAGATATTAAATACCCAGATATCCGTAATTTGCAGCAAGTTTATTTCATGGGCTTCGCGTTGTGAGAGCTGGGTGATGCTTTAGCTTTGGCAGTTGACAGCTGGGCAGATGTGGGGATTCGGAACCTTCAAGCTGCTAGCGTCTGGGAGAAATGACAGAAAACGTTAGAAGTAAATGAAACTCCAGTTTTATGCAATGAAAAATCTCAAAATTGAATCAACCGGTGACTATCGCTGCAACACAAAGTAGTACTGAACCCGTGGACAACGATAAGCCAGAATGCCTACTGACTAAGCTGGATGGTAGATCCATTTCTGAGCAAGGCTACCAGCTCTTTACAAGGAATTATGCTTATTGGTGGATCAAGCAAGACTACTTTGAATTGAATACTTTTTAAGACATCTTCTCATCATCACACATGGGCCTGGGCCGCTTCAATACTAGAACCATGGACATTGATCCCTATATCCATGGCATTGGATTCGGCTCGTTGGGGAAGACCTGAAAGATGACATCAAATTTGAATATCGGATCAGTGCTCCAACAAATTGAAACGAGCAACCAGGAACACAGTATAGTTCAGGGTGGACTTCTTGCGGACATACGCGAATGACATGTATCTATCTCACGAGAAGACAGAAAGCGGACCAGGGGATTCCGAGGGGAATGTCATATAGAGACAAGCCGACATCGCCTCCGATGAGCTGATGGAGGCAAAATAGCCATTTCTGGAGACTACATAAGTTGCGGGCCAAGCCCATCAACTTAGTCTTGTGGCGAAGGAATACCCTCTTGAGGAGCAACGTATTATTCTGGCATCAACTTCCACACTTAATAGCATGATGGCTTTGATCAGAGGTACTCAGATCATGTCACGTCCACTTCTTAGACTGCTTCCATCGGCACGGTCTGTGAATGTTGGATCGTGGCATCGCTGTAGTGTCGCCACAGCACCACCGCCCAATCGCCCACATCATCCCAATCCTGGGAATTTTGCAAATCGGTCACACGAAGAGCTTTCAGAAATAGGCCACAAGGGTGGAAAGAAGGGTGGAAAAGCCACAGGTGTCGGTGGGTTCCATGACATGGATCCAGAGAAACAGGTGAGCGTGCTGCAACACCAACCAGCGAACAGGCTTTGTCGTTAATTGTATGAATGTGAGGAAATAGCATGCTATTGCTGCAAAAGGTGGCCGTGCAAGTACTCGTAAAAAAGCAACAGGGAAAAAAGCACCAGGCAACGGGGAGACTGAGTTAGAAGCTGAACAGCGCGGCCGGTCCCATGAACCCTCGGTGGTTCCACCTGGATTTGAAGAATGGAAGACAATGGCTTGATTCGATCAGACTGTCAATTTCAGAATCAAATTCATCCAAATAGCAAAATACTCAAGGTGAAACATGAAAAACTTAGAGCAGTAAGAAGTAAGAAGCATACAGAAATGCCCGCTAGACCTAAAAAGGCAGTGGATAAACATCAATGCCTCAGGCGTCCAAATACAACCCGTCGCGAGATTCTTCAATCTTTCTTTTTCTCCCCGCAATTTGGTTATTGTTATTTCTCTATTTACCTTGATATTTTTTTTTTCACTTGGTAAATCTCGAGTGCAACCCGGAGGGATTGTATTTGACCTCTGCTTTGGGAGTTTTAACCTTATCGTGCCCTCTTTGCGCAGCCGCACGCGTGCGCAACCATGGCCAACACAGGCTATACCTCGCCATTTCCGACCTCACATGACACCATCGGGCAGTCAACATTGGTGACGCCTCTATTTATGCCATCCTCTCCTCCACAACACCCTTCCAGCCCATTGGGATCTCCGTCAACTGCCCAGACTGCTGCAACTGCCCAAACTCCTGCAACCGAGCGCGTCGCAGCGCAACGTAGCAGCCAAGATCATGGCCACGCCGCTGATAATGAATACCATTCCGACAATGAAATGCAAAATGTCTCTCGACCTCCTTCTCCTGGAAGCCCAACAGGCTCAGATCTCGATGCGCGTCTTGCCGATTACACCCTGGATTTCAGTAATTTCCCGAGCGGACATTTTGCATTGGATGGAAACGAGGAAACTCTGCCCCCTTTTCATCAAGATGTAGATAAATTATCCGATGTTGGGGGACCGGAAGACTTTACCGCGAATATGGAAAAATACCTAATGGGCGATTTGGAAGATGAGGAAAATCACGAGGATGAAGCCGAAGCAGATTACGGATCGGTACGACGATCTTTTCGGAATTCAAAGCAACCCGTGATCGAAGAAGAAGCCGACTCTGGCGAATACAGTGAATTTGGACCGCCAGTGGATATGTCGACCCCTTCACACCTGTTGCATCGGACTAGCGCTCTCCGCAAAGATTCGACCCACCTGGAAGGCATTGAAGAATACCCCGATGATGATGAGCCCCAGGATTCCGCATCTCCTTCTGTCCGGAAATTGTCGGACGCCTCCAGTCATGCACCAGGGGAACAGAATGAGGATCTTCACCAGCAGATTACACAACTTCAACAATCCTTGAAGGAACGCGATGACCAATTGCAGAAGAACCGCAATCGTGTGCTCGAGGCTGTTTCTGCTGGTGAGCAGATCCGTCATCTCCAGGCGGAATTGCAGCGGAAGAATGCTCTCCTGGATGAGGTGCATGCCAAGGGTAGCGACGAGGCAATGCTGCGCGAGCAAGTCCAGTCACTTCAAAAGAAAAATGAAGAGCATGAAAAACTATTACGCCAGTCGAGCATGAATACAACTGATCTCAATCCTCTTTTGAACCAAATTCGTGAGATGCAACAGCAGCTCCAAGACAAAGATTCTCAGACCCCTTTGGACAAGGAACGGTTGGAGACAATTACTCACCTGCGCCAGCAACTGAATCATTCTCAAGAGCAAGTGCGAAAGCGCGATGAAACTCTGGATGAGACTTTGACCAAGCTTAAGGAAATCACACGGGTCAAGGATGCACAAATACAGGAGAGAAACTCAGAGATTGACCAACTGCAAGGGCAGATCGACGACTACGGGCTGGAGAATGAGAAGCTTGAGGCGGAACTAGAGCGTGCGCACAATGATTATCAAGTCCTCGAGGAACGTTTTATCGACCTGGAGACTAGAAACCGTCCTCTGGAGGAGAAGAACACTACACTGGAAGCGAATCTCACCCGTGTCCAATCCCATATGGAAGCCCAGGAGAGTGCTCTCAAAGCTGCTGCAGCAGATCTGCCTATCAGTGGCCATAGCACCTACAGCGAGATCCTCGATCTGATCAAAGATTTGGGCCCAGGTGATCCCGCATCCCCACTCCACTCACCATTGAAGGAAAAGTTCGTGGACGCTCAAGGTGTGCAGCAACTGCAACAACCAGATATGCCAAGCATTGCAAGCCTTCAGCAAGAACTCCAGGGGTTATCCGCCGCACAGAAAGCCGCAGATACCGAAGCAGCACGTCTGCGTGACCAGGCAACTGAAGCCCAAACCCTCATCAACACCATCGAAACAGAGAACTTGCGACTCTCCAACCGGGTTGGCGAGCTTACAACAGCCCTAAACAAGTCTCAGAACGACCTGCTGCAATCTCAAGAAGAGCACGCCGAGTCCCTCGAGACTATCGCGCGCTTGCAAGAAGACAGGATTGCCGAACCTCCCAGCCCACCACCCTCACCCCCAACCGCGCGTGGAGCTCTTAACCCAGAGCCAAGTGGACCGGATGCAGCAGCCCTGGAGGCGAACCACCAAAGCCAGCTCCGCAGCCTGAATACCGCACACTCAACAGCAGTCTCAACTCTGCGTGCCTCACACGCCGAGTCAATGCGCAAAATCCGCAACCTCCTCACAGCCGCCGAGCAACGTGAATCCGATCTACGCTCGGATCTTGAAACCCTCCGCACTTCATCCGCCACCTCAGAAACCCACCTACGCAAGAGTTTCAAATCAGAACTCAGACGCCTGGAAGCGGTCATCGCCGCAAAGGACGACGTTATCGCTGCAAAGGACGAAACCGCCGCTGCGATTGACCAGCGCATCGCTTTGTCCGTGGACAAGCGCGAGCGCGAGTGGGAGCGGCGCATCGACCTGCTACTCAAGGAGCGCGATCGCATGGCCAAGGCTTTGATGATGAGCTGGGGCGAGAAGGAGCTGGGTCGGGGGCCCGCACCTCTGACTGAGGGCAAGGAGAACCGTCGTCGTGATCGAGACCGTGATGTGGATGCCAAGAGTGGACAAGCTTATCGTTACAAGTATGCTCAGAAGCCGAAGTCTAAGAGCACGGAGGCTAGGGCTTAGATTGGTTGATTTGCTTGATCTTGTGTTTCTCTGGGGTTGATGTACCATAGATTATGGATTGCATTGTGTTTCTTTTGATTCGCCTTTTAGCGGTCTGGCGTACTTCCTGGAATGGAATTTGGGGATCTGACCTTGCATGTCTTCGTGAGGTTGTTCTGTTCTCGCCTGAAGACGAATTTTGCATCTTGTTTCTTGACAATGCTACCAAATGAATTTTTGTACTAATCTTTTGAGCTTCTATGTTTATTGTTCAATTACCTGTCTTTCTAATGTAGAATACATTTAGGGTATCATATTGACCACGGCTACAGGAGTCTATTACCGCCAGTGCACCACTTCAGACTTTCCTATATTGAATTTCGACCCTTTGCTGGTCACCCCTTTTAGTGGTCTTTTTTTTTTTTAGCAGTCTCTTGTAGTCTTTTCAAAGTCTTTTAAAATGTCCTCTCGGGGATTTTTTTAGATTTTCTTATTAGCTTTAGAAACTTCGACTGCGATTTTCAAATTACATATAGAATTGATGCATTCAGATGGATAATATGCTCGAATTATAAAAAATTGTACACAATCTGAGCTGTCGCACTCGGGAACATCTATCTTCGCTTGTAACCCTTTGTGTCGAATGTACGTCTATTCTTCCTCCAACCCATATTGCTCCTTCAAACTCAGCTTCCAATCACTGCATGTCATCCATTCTCCACAGACATACATCATCGCTTGATGCTCTATACTGCGCTCTTTGACAGATTGGGGTCGCGTAGGAATAATCATGAACTCGTGGGTTGGGTCGCAGATATCAACAGACAGCGAACCGTCTTTCAACCGTGGAAAGCATTCCTCACAAAAAAGAACGCTAAACGGCATGTCATGGCGCCAACAGTGGGCTATTCCGTCGATAGTGCAAAGAGTCCCACACCCGTCACAGAAAGGCCTGGGGGCATTCGTATCGCCAATCTTTTCATTGAGGAAAGCTATTTGATACCAAGCTGACACCCAGTTGTTGACGTCTCGCATAGCGGCAAAGATCCCAGCCAATTGAAGGTAGCAGTTCCGGTTCTCATCGTCATCAGGCAAGCCAAGTATGAGAACGGGGAGTTGTAAAAGTGATCTGAAAAATTGCAGGGCATCATCGTCACGGCCGCACATTTTGTAGTACGTACCGAGTGTGGCGCGTGCTTCAGGCCGTGGCAGGTATGCGTACTCTGTGACTGCTTTGGTGGTTCTTTCATGTCGAGCTAAGTGAAGGGGTCGTCCCATAACAAGACGTTCGAGTAATTCGCCATATCTTTGACGCTCCACTTCGGAGCAATCGTCTCGGCAGCATTGTTTGAAGTAGTAACAGCATAGAGAAGATGATGCGAGGAATATAATCTGATGCAGATTACTTTTCGCTTGACTTGGTTTGTAAGTTTCCAAGATGCGTTCCCAAATGCGAGCTCCCCCTTCAGGGTCAACTCCAAGTGAGCTGAGCAAGGAGGAGAGGCTTAATTCCAACGTAGCAGTTAGGATAGCCTTTTTCTGGCGACGAGCGATGATGATGGCAGCTGTGAAAGCTTCTTTAAAGAATGAGAAACATCCCCTCCGAATGATCTTGGCGCCAAATTCGTGCATCATGGAGCCTATATCTGGATTTTTGAGCATAAACTCTGTCAGGTGGCTCACGCCCTCACTGGGTGATTTCTCGTTCATCATTTGAAAAAGGTCCAATATCTGATCAACCTTGCCAGCGCCATGATAGTGCTCCAGAATTAATCGAGCACATTCTGCACAATGGTTGTAAGAGTTATATGCTTTTTGAAGCACGGAAAAGGCATTTTCCTTATCTGTGAGACGCAAGTAGCAATCTGCCACTCTTTCGTACTCGTGGTGAAGGACTTTCCGAACTTCGAAAGACTGCTCTTTTTCATTGATCAGGTTGATGTTGGTTTGATGAATCTCCAGAGCTTTGGCAGACTCGCCAATGTCTCGATACAAGCAAGCCATCTGAGAACGGAACTCCCACAATTCCGGGTCGATTTGTAAAGCCTTTTGCAAATATTCAATAGCCCCATCATAGAACGCCAATCTCTCCAATGCCTGCCCGACTCTACCATACCAGTGAGCGTCATGCTCAGGTTGACCCCAGTCTGCGATCTGCAGGACATTCTCGACGGAAGTGGCGTCGAGAGAAGGGCCAGAGCTCTGAAAGGCGATGAAGTCGCGAATGATCAGTAGACAAATAGCTGGGCACCATGAAGTGTTTCGAACCCAGTGAGAAGCTATATAGCTCGCGATTGGGCGCAGAATTTCGGCTGGACTCTCGGCCATGGCATTGCTATACCAAATCTTGGTCTCATCCGGAAGAGCTTCTTGAACATCAGGGTCACCAAGCCATTTATTCAAAATACCCAGAGCGTCCTGGCTGAAGAAATTGAGTTCATCAGGCGAAACAAATGCTTCGAACCCTGACTCATCAGACAATAGCTCAGCCAACTGAAAGCCAATGGCTCTTTTGGTGTCTTTAGTAATCTGGCTCATATCAACGGCAGTGAGGAATTGAACAATATAGCTGCAGGCGTATGATCTTAACGCAAGTGCGATCTGCTCCCTCGACTCCTCCTTATTCTGGATGATTTCGAAGCATCTATTCAATACTAATATCCGAGCTTCATGATAGTTGACTCCGATAGGCGGAGAATTGGGTCCAGCAGAGACTTTGCCCTCCTGGCTTCTGAAAAATTCTCCGAGGGATGCGTGGCAGAAAGAGACCGTGGTGGTCTTGTGATCAGAATCGAAATCATCATTCGAATCAAACTCTTCATTCTCCTCCGAGTCGCACTCGGGTGTTTCTTCTAAATCGCCGTAATCCGTGTAATTCATTCTTCGTTTCAGATCTGCAGTGGAAAGGCCATCTTCACGGGTCAAAAGAAAGATAGAGGCAAATTGTACTCGAAGAGAGCCCTCTAGCCATATCCAACTCTCTCCTTCGGGTGACCTCCATTTCAACAGAGCGTCAATCTCAAATAGAGAGAGCGGAGTCGGGGTGCACATTGTCCATGCCAATAGCTCATTCAAGTCGGCGGCGTATTGGGGATTTTCCGTGAAACTCTCTGAAAACCCCTTTAGGACATGGGAGATCATCTTTGTTAGGCCTTTTGGAGCTTCGTCGAGCGTTCTTTGTATGTCTCCCTTGCTTCTGATCTGCGACAAATCCTGTAACATGAGCCCAACCCAGAGAAACATCCCCTGGGAGCCAGTAGACAGTCTCTGAATAATTGTTCGCTGGGTAGAGGGCGGCAGTTTTCGCAAGTAGATGGATTTTGCGATGATAGTCTTGATGTAATGCACAATGTCTTCGAAATTATTCACTTCAGAAACATCGATCGTCTGAATTTGAAGGGTTTCCATCAAATCATTCATTTCCTCGGCAATTTGTGGTCTGCCCAGCATCAGGAGCTGGATCCGACCACCGGCCTGGATATCCTTCGCCAATTCAAATAGTTCGAGCCGATCATTGATGAATGCTTCGTCGAGTGCATCAAGGACTAGATAAACTGGGCCTTCTGCGGATTTCCTGCCGTCTTCCTTGCCTCCGTTATCGATGAAGAAATTCAGAAACAGATTCCTCCATAAACTCTCAAGGGTCCCTATATCCTCAGGACAATCTAAGCAATCAACGATATACTCAGCATAAAGTGGATCCTTTAGTGCGATCTGAAATGCGATATCGCGGAGAGCTTGATGTGTGGACCGGGTTGTGGGGTCGTCGTCCTTGAAAAAGAAGAATCCCAGAGAAACATGTGGCTTCTGCTTTAGGTGATCAATCATATTGGTAGCGATGTATGACTTTCCAGCCCCTGGGTTTCCGGAGATCCACAGGACTGGTTTCTTTCCGGCGATCCAATCGATGAACTCCGTTTCCTCTTGTATCCAGTCCCCGGTTTGCGGTACTCGGTTACGATTCATTGTCCTGTATCGATCCTCGGAGCTCCTGGAAGGCTGTAGTAAGAGTCGTAGGTTTGCGGCCATGCGTTCTTTGCGAGGCATCTCAGACTGCAGCCTCGTTTCTTCCAGTTGTCGAGCGATTTTCTTCATATCGGAATTCACGCGCGCAAACCCTCCCTTCACTTCTGTCAGGGTCTCGGCCCCAACCAATGCACTTTCCGCCTCGACAAGCCTGGAAAATCTGGCCATTGCCTCTTTTCCACCGTCACTGCCAGACAGCAGGCTTTTGCCGTAGCTAAGCATCCTTCCATGCTTGACCTCTTTGCGGGCAAAGGCGAGTACCTCCAAAAGCGAGGTCAAAATCTCTGTCAGTTTGTTGCTCAGATTCTCGGAAATAGTCTGCCCCGAGTATACTTTTAGTCGAATGGTAAGATCCTATGAAGGTCAGCTCTAAACATCAACTCTTCCCTAAAATAGTATGCACTACGAACTTACTTTCAAAGTTGACATCGTTTCAATGATAGCATCATACTTGTCCGAAACACCCTTTGCGGCTTCCAGCAATAGAGTTACCGCACCAAACACATAGGTACTAGGTGGATAAGCCGCAGAGACACCACCGGCCACCACCGTTCCTACCAGTTCAATCGGGGCCATGGCATGTTTGAGCACATCTCGAAGTCGATGCCCCCGGTCACGAAAGGCGTTGAATTGTTTGTTTTCCTCATCGATTACTTCCAGTAAATCGTTGACTGTAGTCACCCGCAGAACGACGGGATCGAGCTTTTGCTTCGCGATGGTTTCATATTGTTTGATAGCTTCAGTCCATAATGAAGCTATCTTCTGGGACGACATTATGATCGACAATGTGGAGAATTTATATAAATTGACTTGCTGACCTTTTGGATGAAAAATCAATTCGCTTCAGCCACACCAATGCGGGGTAATTCGTCCAACATCAGTATATATCAGTTCTGTTCTCCTAGACTCTGCATTGAGAAGTATGGAATTACAGAGGGAATTATAGATGACAATCTGCATGCAAAACATAGGAAAATCCAGACGGGATTGGATGGATCATGGCGGTTAGTAGTGACACGGGTGGTGACCTGTAACCTGCATATTCAGGTCAGTTGACAATGTGATATTGGGATATAGGCGCTGTAATGTATCAGCTTGTTGTTTTGATACATAATTGAACAACTGTCTTGGTTGAGTGCCCCGAGGGTGCGCGGAACTGCGCAAAATGGGTCAGGAGAGAGATATTCATACGCTCCCTGGAGACCGGCTCCCATAGAGAAAGTACTGATTCTGCTCATGCCAATACCAGATATCTAAGGCTACCAGACTGACAGAGATCAAGATCAAACCTAAGTCGAAATTGAGTAGAGAACTGATTACTACAGCATACCCTCGGGTCTGAGGTGCCTAAACATCTAGACTGGCCAGGAATACAGGAACATGGCCCTTCCATGAACCCAAGATCCTGAAGCCCCTAGAACTCCCACGCTAAACGGTTTACTTTTCCCAGGTTACACGAGTGTATTATGCAAATGTGTATCAGGGTAGTCTTTCCCTGGCCTCCAAACTATCACATACTTCTATATCTCCTAACGATCTCGGGGTATGAACCAGACAAATGAAAGAAGCAAAGTAAAAGATTGATATATAACCGAAGTCTTCCATACAAAAATAAACCAAATATCACCAAATGAACGTCCGACCAGCAGACAAACAGCAGTCAATACCCATTCCCTTATTTCTCCCACACACCCTCTCAATAAAAACCTAAACTCGTCCGATTCGCACCCCGATATTTCGTCTGGTCAATACAATTAGACGGCAATTCCAAGCAAGCAGTCGAAAGAGGTCTCGGACCATCCACCACATGCGGGTCAGACGTCGTCTCCAAGATACAGCTGAGCGGGCCATTGGCGACGCCAGGGGTACTGCTTCGTGAACGACGCGTGCTGGGGTAGATTATCTCGACGTCGTTGCGGCGGGGGATGGGCGCTTGCAGTGAGCGAGCTGAGCCGTAGCGGCGCTGGTTTGCCCAACGGGATGATTGGTGTGCATACTGGCTCCCGGGGTGGGTGTTTGGGTGAAGGTTGTACTGGCTCTGCGAGTGGCGTGGGAGGTGGTTTGGGTCGAAGTGGTAGGAGGAGCTGCGGACGGGGTAGTGGATGATGTTTTTCTGTTGTTGCACGGTCTTTCGAGTTGAGTCTGGGTGCATTTTTGGTCCCGGGGCATGGCGGCGGGACTGGGAGTATGCTCGTGGTCGTGGTAGGGAAGGGGGGCGTGGGATAAAGTTTGGGTGGTGTGGGTGGTGGATTGAGCGGGCTGCGGGCATGGTGTAGGCTGTTTGGGAGCGGCGGACCTTTGGTGGGGAAGATGGGGTTGGGACTACTTCTGGGGCGTCGGCGGAGTTCATTGTCATTGTTCGGGTGTGGTGGCCTTCTGGGTGTGCGGGCATGGGTTTGGATAGCGTGTTGGCAGGGCTTTGGGGGAGGGATGCTGAAGATGCGTTTGGTGTGTTGCCGTTTGCGACGACTTGGTAGGTTGTGGATTCGGGGATTCCCTTGGGCATGCTGTTTGGTGTCACGACTTGTTTTTCGACGTCAGATGCGGCGTTCGGGTCTGCCAGGGCCTGGATTTGAGGATCCGATGATAATGGAAGCGATAATGGGAAAGACTTTGGAAGAAGACGTCTAAGAGAAGACAACGATGACTTTCCTCTTTTATGGTGGGTGTTTTCCTGAGGAAGGGCCGGGAGTTGAGGGACAGACGCATCAGAGAGAAGGGCGCGTAACTCATTGGCTGTCTGTGAACTCATGGTCGTAGACGTGCACGAGATGGGATAGAACTCGCTAGCCTGGCTTTGTGATCCAGGCGAGATACGGTGTAGAGTGTCGGGCGAAATCGTCGTTCCAGACATAATCTCTCCATATGTCGAACCGGGATCAGTGTTAACTCGAAGTTGAGGCCGTAGACGGATGGGGGCAGGATGCCGGATGCTGGGATGGCAGTTGACTCGGTTGGCGATTGGGTCTGCAGACCAGAATTCCCCGGGTCCATTTCCATCGTGTTGGCGGCAAAGATAGAGAATCTCGTTTTTGAGGGTTTCTTCGCTATCCCAGCTATTACCAGAGACGATACTACCGTCTCTGTTAACCATTTGGCGCTTGTAGATACCGAGAAGCGATACATCGTATGGTCGATCGCACAGCTGCCTCGCACAGTACATTGTGCACACGGTGACCCTGTAGGATAATTGTTAGTTGAAGTAAAGGATGACACGGAACGAAAATGCTGCATACATTGAAACAACCGACACGATCACAGATGCTCGGTGGAAGGCACAGCTTATACCAACTCTCCAGAAACTTGCATGTGTCCCTTCGGGGAGACAGTACACCTGCTGTGCAGCAACAACTAGACCTGCTACACTTGTAGCTAACCAAAGTAGAAGGTCCAAGCGTAACACATATGTGCATACATTATGCAGAACGGTTTTCTGTGTTCCAAATCCACCAATGTTATTGTATTGCCAAGCAACCAGGCTTTGGAGACTGACAAGTGGCACTGAGAGAAAAGACTGAATAACGGTCAGCAAGGCGGTATAATACCGAAAGATTGAAGTTCAAACATACTGCGACAAGTCCAAGCACAACACTCAGAGTCATCTTTGAGTCAACCTGGCCATTACCGTAAAGGTAGAGCACGAGCACCCATTCCAAGATAGACTCGAGGAGTAGCATGTATAGCGCAACAAATATCACAAGCTTTGTCCATGTCCCCTCCTTTCGAGGTGTTGCGGAAAATCCAGTCATGATCGCGATAATTGAAGTAGCAAGAGACAGGCGACTCTCCTTATGGCCCTTTCCAAGCTTTCTGGGACTCGGAAACCGGGTAGGGAAGAATGCGAGTGTGTTATAAGTCAAGGACAGGCGAATTCAATGCGCCAGGTCCAAATCGAACCCAATTTCAGACACACTTGAAGTTCATCGATTGAGCTTAAAGAGGATCATACATAAGGTTGGTACTAAGAGGAGCGTTGAAGGACTAAAGAGGAATTTAATGAAGGGTGCTTAGCCCTGGAGCGCGTCGACGCGAATATGGCGTGGAGGGGTGGAATGTCGCAGCCGAGGGGCGTGCACCAGAAGAATCCAAGGCCTTGAGGATAGCCCTCTCTGTCGAGGTTGGTCCATCTTAGCTTAATAGGTTGGAATGCTGAGGACTTGCTAGTGCCAGGGATGTATTGAGGGTTTGGCTGTTGTTGGCCTTATCCCTGTGGATCTGTTTGTACAGACGTCAGTTCGTTTCAGTCCCTGATAATGAAAGGTTTGAAGTAAATTTCTCTTCTAAAAATCAAGTGTGGTTATTTCTCCGTGCATCGAAGGGTTGCCCTTGGAGGTGAAGATGGAGGCGACCGTGCCCTAGATCCCTCGATGACGTGGGTCAACAACCACTCCGACCACTAACAACCGTAACAAATGCTTTGAATACTGTGATCTAGCTTGTAAACTTCTAAGGACCTTCTCTTTTTCTTTCAATTTCGTGCTAGTTGCTTATCGCTTCGTGTAGTTCCAACCAATTCTTCACACAACACGTGATCTGAGGGGTTGACCTTGTCAGTAAGGACGAGAAATGAGCCTTGATCCTAGGTCACAACCTAGATTAACAAACATTCTGACGCATTTGACAGGCACCTGAATGAAGTGTCTCTAATATATTGGCATTGTGGAATGCGATTCTGATCTGACTGTGAGCTACTCAGATTGGCCGAAACCGCAAGGCACGATGCTTTTTGTAAATAACAAGCCCGCCCTAATCACATTGCCGAGTCCTTTCTTTCACAGGGATGGTGCTTTCATCGACAGTTTGGGGTGGAGGGCTATGTATCGCTCAAACGTTGACTATAGTTGACCTTATGAACTTGAGTTTATATATAACACTAGCGATGTTTTGCGGGATATAGGTTAGAGCTATGAATCAAAACATCACGCACTAGAAGCCCCAGGGCTGTGTATGTTATACCCCGAGAGGTCCGGGGAGCTAGCCCAGTTGACAGGCATCCGATGTATCATAACTTTGGTTTTCTAGGTCATACACTCCACAGTGCAGTGGGCGATTAATCCTTGATTACAACCACAACTTTGGTAAACTTGGAAAGCTGCATGGATTGAAGAATCGCTATACTGGCAACTCTACCTAATATCAAGCATCGTAATACATATAAATGTCAAGCATTGATGTATGAACTTCTGTCGATCTTCACCACCCCTAGACTACACAAGCCTATCTTTCCTGTACATCAGGTGCAAATTATGCACTGTTTCAATAAGATTTGGCTCAGCAAGCCCATCCGCTGTTTCTCTCTTCGACTTCAACAATAGCAACGAAAAATTATGTATGTATAGAATGACCTGGAATGTAGAGAGTGCGAACTGTCTAGGTGATTTTCCCACCTGCAGGGGGGCGAAGATACATGTGAGTAATCATAAACCCCTCCAAGGCCCCTTGGACGCTTTAATTTACTCAGTAACATTTCACAGACTTCCTAGAACACCCCTATCCACCGTTTGTTTCACCAGATGGAATCTTGCATAGTCAGTTATCATGATTTGGTATCTATAAAACGAATTCGACAAGCTGATGCAGAACTAGACACTTTATCTAGACAATTTGCCAATCAATGTGACAGGCGTGAAGCAGTGAGATCCACGTCGCACGGTGTTTTGCTTGGAGCTTGAAACCTCTCTATTGCGATCTTAAGGAAGCAACCACTAAGCGCCTTCGATAGATACGGAGCAATATAAGTCGGACGGTTTCTTGTCCTATCCTACTCAAAATTGCGAGCAAAGCAAAGTTATGATTTTCAATCTTGAGCAAGTCGACATTCTCGATCAATTTCGGCCGTTGGAGCGTACTACACTACAAAACAGATGTCAAAGCAATCGCCCTCTATAAAGCATAAAAAGAAAGACCTAAGCTCTTTGGAGATTTTGTTACGGTGGTTTTCACCATACACATTGTAAAACATCCACCACAGCGCTACTTTAATAGTATTCCCCCTCTTCGTAGCCACCTGAGATTTGAGCAGAATTTTCCTCTTTGGTGATTCAAAGATGGCTTTACCTCACCCCACATGCCCTTGCACCGCAAACCCCTCGATGACATCTGCTTTGGTCCACAAGCCGCAGAGCTCATGGCATCCGGGAACGTCTAGCACATCCTTCTGGGATACCTTTTGCGCTTATTCCCCAGAAGAGCTAGGTCTTTTAGCCATTGACACTGTTAATATCTTAGCTTCCGAGTTATGGCGGGATTCGCTAATGCACCAGCTTGGGTTTGGAATCTAAGGCCCGAGAGCCAGTAAGTATCAAACCCTGTTTGTTTCACTGACTTTTTTCAAGACTCCTTTGCATCTTATATCCAATCCTTGTATCAAAATGTACCCAAAGGCAGCCTGTTTTCCAGATTTCAGAGTGCCAGCATGGGCGGTCATGGCTTCGAAATAACCAGAAAGACCGTTATGATGACTGGAGCTGCTTTGGCACTACTGATTTTTATCTTGAAATTGGTGTACTATTCAAAGTGTTACAGTTTAGAAGCGGACGGAATGAGCCTAGTTACAGACTTTATCTTGCTCTGATAAATGTGTTGAGCAAACTCCGTGTCTTTCTAGCCTAGGTGTGGTATTGCTGGCTCACCTCCGAGTGCGAGGAAAGGCATTCACATTTTTCCAAGTTCGCAGAATTGCTGCACATACCACATGGAAACCTAGCTACGTGATTGATCCTTATGTCTGAGCTATATATAGGTGATAGGACTTCTAGCTTACAGAGAGGTTCGCAGTAGCAGTCATATCATCGTTCTTGAATTTTGTCTATAGATTTTAAGGGAAACAAGAGCTAATTCACAGTACAGCAATGCACTCAATCTCGACATCAGTGTTGAGAGGGAGCGTCTTGACCGCAACACATCTGCGCAGTATACTCATTAGCAAATCAAATCAAGTATGTAGAGTCACACGGATGCATCGGTGCAAGCATCACACCGATAAAAGAAATGGGGGAAAGAAATGACTCCAAATGACCCCAACGAGAGAAAGAGCGGGGTAACTCACGTCCGGCAGGGCTTCACATCACCCCAGTACTGCATGTAGACAGAGTTCATCTCGGCGAAATCATCCATATTGGACAGGAACACATTGACCTTAACGACCTTGTTAATGTCGGATCCGGCCTCCTCGAGGACGTGGGTCAAGTTCTTGATGCATTGGTGCTGTTGGGGAGGTTAGCAGGTTGAGGTCAATTGGGGGGGGTTTTGGTTTCTTACAGTGTGTGCCTTGACATCACCATCAATCAACTTGCCAGTGGTGTCCATTGCGACAGCGCCGGAGCAGTAGACAACGCCATTGGCGACGATGGCCTGGGAGTAGATACCGGGGAGGGGCTTGGGGGCCTTGTCGGTGAGGATAGGGGTCTTGGAGGACATTATGGTGGTTTGTGAGAGGCAGATAGAGTACGAGCTAAGGGTGAATCAAAATGATAAAAAGGAGTAGGAAGTTACCGGGGAAGGCGCCCTTTATCAACCGAAACTGCATCCCACATCGGCCCGGATTAAAACGTAAGTGGCTCCATATTGATAACACAAAGAGGAATATGAAATGACTCAGGGGGTTGAACTACTGTGGACATTAACTGGAGACAATGGGGGCCAACTGTAACAATACTTGTTCATCATTACCCGAAATGGCATATCAGTGTATCGGTCTTCTCCCCCGCATTCACTCCCACCCTCTCCGTGGGGGTGGACTTAGTTGAATACATAGTCTCACACCCGAGACCCTGAAATTTTAGTACTTTGCTATTTCCTCTTTATAACTTCAAAATGACTGCCGGCATTACCCAACCACCGTATCCGCTCCACGAGTCCGTTAAAGATCTACTGGACCCAGAGTATGTTGCATTCTATAACGAGCATGTCATCAATAACCAGCAGGTGCACCTCCGACCCGTAGAAGCGTCACGGACAAGTGGTGTCTTGATTCCTGGTGCGGGTCCCATGCTGGAGGTGGGCAAAACTCAAGACATTATTGTTCAGCGACGAGCTACCGAGGGCCCAGCAGTACCAATCCGCTGCTTCACCCCCAAGGGTGAGGCACCTCCTGGTGGATGGCCAGTGATGCTGTATTTCCATGGTGGTGGCTGGGTGCTGGGTAACATCGACACAGAGAATGTGGTGTGTTCGAACCTCTGTGTACGAGGCAACTGTGTTGTGGTTACAGTTGACTACCGGTAAGTCAGCAAAATCCACTACCTAATCATGCCACGCATCTATACCCTTGAGAAATTTCAATCTGATATGTCTTACCTTCTCCTAGTCTTGCACCCGAAGACCGCTGGCCGGCCGCAGTCCATGACTGCTGGGAAGCTCTCCTTTGGCTGATTGCAGATGGCCCCGCCGCACTCTCAGTTGATGTATCCAAACTCGCAACCGGTGGCTCATCCGCGGGTGGGAACCTTGCCGCGATTATGACGCACAAGGCGCTGACTCTGTCACCCCCGGTTCACTTCCAAGCCCAGCTCCTCTCTGTCCCCGTGACAGACAACACCGCCACAGTAGAGAACAGCGAGTCTTACCGGCGATACGAGCATACCCCCGCACTCCCCGCACTCAAGATGTACTGGTACCGCGACCATTATGTCCCCAACGATGCAGACCGCGCCAATCCAGAGTCGAGCCCACTGTTCTGGCAGGGTGATTACTCGCAATTGCCGCCTGCGCTGGTTATGGTGGGCGAGTTGGATGTGCTGCGCTCGGA